GCAAGGGCGCTGAATTCGACACGCTGGAGGTTCTCTGCCTGAGGCTGAAATGATCGTTTCTTTGATTGGCCTTGTTTGACTTGCAAGCATCATTGGAGCTCAAATCTAATGTTGTGTGAGCTGAGTATTGGGCTATGTCGATGTTCTCCGCACCGGTGAGAGCCTCACTTGCTCTGCTGACGAACTTTGTTCACCGGGAAACTCTCTTGATGTATGTACTATCCAATCGTTTCTTCAGGACTCATAGTTTAGATGTTTTAGTGTGGGTATGTATATGATCATTGGGTGCTTCATGCCATCTCTTCAACGCCCTGTTGGTGTTAGGTGGTGTTCTGTTCTCTTCCTACATGACACGCTGACGCAAACAGCTCCTTTGAGCCTGAGATTCTTCGATAGCAGCGCCCGTCGTCGGACTCAGATCGAACATAAAAGGGAGCAGGTACCCCAACAATGATGATGGAAGAAAGGTTCATGCGATATCTTCATGGTGCCCAAAGAGTACGTACCATCGAAAAAATGCTATAAGATCATGAGGGTACGGACGTCCTCTAATGATGCCATCCGCTTGCAACTGTTCCAATTAAGTCTTTGTCATCTTTGGTACTTGCAGTGACTTGACTTACTACTATCTTCTGGTCTCAGTTACCTCACTGCTTACCTACTTCGCCCTCTTGTCGCTTGTACCTCTTCAATAAGCTACCTCATGTCCAACGCAGACAGCTCTACAGAGCTTGCCTTGCAGATATGCTTTGGTATATTTGGTGTCTTCAGTACCGTTGCTACCCTAGCTGGTCTTCACCATCATGATTCGCTTGGCTGCGTCTTACTTCGACGCCTAAGAGGCCGTCACACCACTCGTACGTGTCATGTGCAATGAGCCTATGATTCATGTGTCTGACCACTTCTTAAGATGTCCATGACCTGGAGGCAGAGGCCGCCAATACCAGCCTTGAGGACCTTAATGATGTTCCCGACTATTCGATCCCATCTGTGAGGAGGCCTACACTACCGCCTTCCTACGAGCAGTCCGGTGAGAGCTCCTATGTCGAGACCTTTCTGGAAGACGATGTCGAAGTTATATCATCCAATAGCAAGGATGAAGCTTCATAACACTGCGGGGGAAGCGAAGTGAGTCATGGGTATCAGTTGCCAGCAGATACATCCTTCATAGAAGGAAGACTTGGAGAGTTGTGACGGCGCGTTTCGCTTGAGAGAAGCTACGACAATAGGCATACTGCAATAGTTCATGCGCAAAGAAAATAGACATTACGTTACCATGCCCATTGCTTCTCTCCGCAGTGAGCATCATGTTATCAGCATGTCGAAATAACAAAAGCAATGGGGTAAACCTGTTGATAAGTCGAGCGAATGCCCAAACACCGTTCAAAGTACTCGTTATTGCTACGAACTGAGGATACAAAACTAAACAGAAGCATAACCGTAATGACAGCAGCAGATGAGATGCAAGGCTAGGAAACAAACGAAAAAGACAACAGCCTCATCAGTCCCTGGTTTTATCCTGGAAGTGAAGTTCGGCGTGCTTGAGGCTCAAAGACGGGTACGCCAGCGAACTACAGTTCGTCTTGGACCACCATGTCTGTTGTCTGATACAGGAATCTATGCGGCGACAAGATGAGATAGGAAATAAGAGATAGTCTTGGTGTCGAAGCGATATACGCTTGGGATTAGTGACATCTCAGAAGTGTCTTCTCGGCTTCACGAGACCGAACTTTTCAGCATCCCCTCGCCCCAGTACCACATCGTATGCGGGATTCTCTGTAGTCGTCACCCAAAAGCGGGTCTCTTGTATATGCTTGGTATTGCTTCCGAAGCACCAGGTCAAGTCGACGTATCCTTCCACCCCTTCGCCTCGATGGTTGGCGAGAACGCACTCCGTTTTTTCGCTCGTATGCACTGGAACATCCAGTACTTGCAACATGGGCCGTGATATGATGCTTTCCGTTGTATTTGGATCGCATGAGAGGACAGCTACCTCCCAGGTTTCCAAACTACCCTTCGTTCGAGAGCAGATCTCGATTTGGGCCGGCTGAGGGATTCGTTGTCTTCGCTAGATCTCGTTAACAATGAATGATGACGGTGGAGGGCAACGCACACCAGATGACAACAACCTAGAGAGTCCCCAACAAGACATAGTTCGTAGTCAATTAAGTAGCGGGTAGTATTTCGTGTTTCGTGTTTTGTGCGACGATGCAATGGTGGTGTTGATGCGAGTTGGATCTAAGTGTGCTTTTCGATGGTGATAATAGAGTCCTCCAGGAACTTCACGAGGAGGACCTTCCGCCTATAAAGCGACCAATAGCCCCAGGCACAAGCTTCTTTGCGCAGGCGGGACCTCTGTATGACCCTGAAGGACTGCGCATATGACAAACTCGAGCGACATGGAAGCTCTGAGGCGTTGTTGGGCGTGTCAAACCCAATGAGCCCGCATTTCCGATTTCCTCTCTAGTGGCGCAGTCATGGTTCCTTCGACAAGCAATGGAATCACCGGGGCAGATCGATCTCGAATGTTTTTGCGTCACAGCCTGAAAGAAGGCAACCATTGTCTGTTCCTGGAGTGATCAGCGGGGCGCAGCCGCGCATGTCCTCTACCGATCAGTGTTGAAGTGTAGCCTCGTCAGCTAAATTTTGATGTTCGAAACGGTCATATTTTTCATCTCAGTTGCTCTCCTCCGGTATGCGAAGCGACAGATGGGGTGGAAGAGATAGGTTTTCCAGGTGTGTTATTCGTGTAGTGTGGAACTGATCGCAGTCCGCCTGCGATGCACGCGGGGCCCGACTGGCAGGTGCCCCCGGGGCCGCCCGGGAGGCAACCACTAGTGCTAGTGCCAGCACGCATGAGCAACCTTAGCCGCAGCAGGCTGCGAAACCTTGAAATCTCACATACATCAACGTAGCCATGATGCGTCCTCCCGGCTGCCTACTCAGTCGGCCTTCCATTTGATTTGTCATTCTGCGATATCCAAAGTACTTTCGCTTGTGCTTCCACCTTCACAGATAATGTCTGTTCAGTCGCAGAAAGATAGATAATATCGACTCATTCGAGCGACGATTTCCATCGACTTCGCAGCGATCCTTCAGAATCGAGGTTTCATGTTCAGAAATGGCTTATCATTGGTGGTAGGGGTGGGTATAACTTAGCGATGAACGATGTGTATGCCTGACGAATATGCCTGCATCTCAGGCTGAGGGGTGCTTGACATTGCAGATGTATGCAGCTTCACCCAGAGGTCCTTCTGCCCTCTTCATGCGCATGGCTTTCCGACTGCTGATGGTGTGTTGAATGACGTGGAGGCTCTTGCGCACATTCGATTGCTGAGTTCAAGATATATGGGCGCAATGAGCGACACCTATATGGGGAGCCACGCATGAAGGCTATCTAGCCACAAAAGAATAACAATGTCATCGCAAGATCCTCTTGATCGTTTCGTTAAAGGGTACCCGAAACTGGCTGCGCAGATGGAGATACTACCTGAGCTCGCTATATTCCGCAGGTTTGGGGCTCTCAATGCTCAGAACCTGTTGTACATGCAGGCTGAGCTCACGTATCTGGAGAACAAGCTACGAGAGCGGCAGTTGGCCGACCACATTGATCCGTCGGAAACGAGGAAAGTGCATGCACTGAATTGGTTCTGGCTCCGTGAATCCGAGAAAACCGGCACAGGTGAACAACTGGAATTGGTCATGAAGATTAGAGAAACGCTCAAAGAGTACAGTGTGTTTGAAGATCTTCCAGCGGACGCATAAAGCTGACTACGACAGATGATGCGTTAGCACAACAAGCCAAGATTCTCAAGTACCCTCGGCCTAGCACTTGGGATCTCCACCACATCCAGAACTATCTCCACTCTACGGAAATGGGCGAGAATGCGTTGACTGGAGAGGACGGTGATATCTGGGGCTCTGCCTGCCATCGAGAATCCTACAAGCCGGACCTGGTTACGCTATGTCCGCGCGCAAAGAAGGACGCCTTTTCCGCATGGGCTGCGGAAAGTACCATCACCAACCTCTTCAGGTGTGGCTGTGCTCGCATCAAGAAACCTTCGCGCATTCATGGAGTGGTCGGCTACGAAGATAGCACCATCTATCGCATCACCTATTGGATCACCAGTATTCTCGCATCTCTCATACCGATAGCGTCCATTGCCGTGCTATATCGCGTTCAGTCCATGACTGCTCGACTCGGGATCATTGCTGGGTTCAATGTTCTGGTTTCTATTTGCTTGATGGGTTTGGCCAATGCGAAACGCGCCGAAGTTTTTGCTATCACAGCTGCGTGCGTATGTCCATGTCTTCCTCATTGCTCACGTACTGACAAGACTTAAGATTTGCTGCGGTGCAGGTCGTGTTTGTTGGGTCTGATAGGAGTACGGTAGGATGAGGAGGGTTAATCTGAATTCAAGCGCAAATAGAAACGATCCTTTCTAGACGGAGATATGAACATGTCCAAAGGAAACAGTGTTGGTGACCAATTACCCCACAGCACCTTCGCCTAGCCTCGGTAGAGTTCGTGTCGGTCGTATACGCTGCAGCACCTTATACAAGGGAAAAACTAAACACCTAGAAGCCTACGTCGCTGTTAGGCTACTAAATTCGCAAGCTTTTATCTTAATATAGGCTCTTAGGTGTTTGGTTTTTTCCTTAAATAGGGTGGCAGGAAAACCACTGCCAGGCGGCATGCGTTGAAACCATCTGCATGCGTGCGCCACCAACTTCGGCACAGCATTCATCCGGCCACTCAGCCGTTGGCGCAGTTCAGTTATAGCTCGCCCCTCTCCGCGTCAGTTCAGCCCAACTTGCAATCCAGAAAACATTCAACATAAGAAGCCTTCGCCTTTGTCTCGTCGCAGTCCGGCCCCCGTCCATCGTTGTCGTACTATCCCTACGCCAACTGGGATCGGCGACCGAAACAATCTTTGAGCGTACGGAAGGACCCGGTTCGGGATGTATACGTGTATGTGTAGTATGCCTAGGGTGGGGGTTCAGGGTCTCCGAGCCGCGGCTGCTTGTGCCTGTCCAAATCAGCATTGCAACCATGAACGAGAGCTTTGACGGCTCACCTGCTGCTGTTCATATTGCCTCATCTTCTCTTTCTCTTTCTTGCGTCTCTCTTCAGCCTCTCTTTGTTTTTGAGCGAGTGTGGCAGCTGTCTCGAGTCAGTAACGATCCACAGTTTGCGGTCACGAACGTACAATCGACTCGAGGCTGTAAAGTCCGATAAGCACCGAAGAAATCGCGGTTTCCTTGCAAGAGCCCCAGCTCTACGATTGTATCACTCCCGATAACGAGTTCGAACGTGTCGAGGTCCACCACCTGGAAAATCGACTTTTCGAATCGGGGTCGGAAGCTGGGGACCTTTCGAGGATCGCTGCAGTACCATCTTGCCTCAACCTGACCGAGACATGGCACCTCGGTATTGTTGCTGAGGGTTATGCTGATTGGTTCGGAGCTGGGGCTCGGTGCCAACCCAAATTCCGCAAGAAATTGGAGAGTGATCAAGTTGTACTTGCTCTGCGTGTCCACTAGAACGATACCAGGATTGGGTTTTGACCATTGACGGCGATCTTCGTCCCATAAGGAGACAGCGACCATCCTTTTGAAGTTCTCGTTCTGCCTTGCGGGTGTGAATCTCCGGCGGAGCTTGCGTGATAGGGTAGGAGCATCGCTTGTCGATGTGCTGGACCGTTGTTGAGACGAAAGGAGTTGCTTGAATCTTGGACACGCTGCGGAGAACGCACGCCTGTACCATTTGTTCTTGCTCTTGAGTGACTCGCAATCTTCGTCCACTTCACTGAAGATCCGGGTAGGACGCGCCGGGTTGATTGGTTTGTTACGGTCACCTTCAAAAGTATGTTAGCTCTGAGCAAACGATCCACATTGCGAGACTCTATGGCTCACCGCGAGAAGAGAACAGTCTCTTGGCTTTACTGGGTTGGATCATTTTGGTAGTGGAGGTTTGATGGTCTGTAGTGATCACAATTCAAGAAGAAGGAAGCGGAAGGCGATCTCGAACATTACGCAATGCTGCAGAGGTCAAGGGCTAGTATAGCAGTTTGGAGTTAGAAGGCTGTGCTAAATGGACTTAGACTTCAGAGCCTCATCAGGCTGCCTGCTTGCTGTGCCACGGTGGCGACGGCTTAGCGACCGGACAGCGCTCACAACGCGCACTTGGGGGCTCGCCTCGATACCAGACCTAGACCTTGGAGGGTGGCGCAGCCACTGTGCAAGGGGTATCATATCTGCATATGTCGTTGCTCTGATGTGAAAAACAGTTCCTGAAAGCCCAGGGATCACGAAGATGTCTTCCACGAGTAAAGCGTTCATATCATCTGGATACCCGTTAGTTACTGTAAATCGCGATCGGTTCAACCTTCATACCAAATGCAAGATTTATGACGTGCCAGTATTATTCATGCAACGAACAACGACTGAGCCACTCGACCTGTGACGTTTGGAGACTCGGCTCAAGCGACACATAACGCCTGATCTGAAACAAAAGTGTTTGCCTTGGAGAACCTGCGTTCTGTGCAATCGGTCAGACGCTCAATCTACCGTCCGGCTGCACGGTGATCCAATACTCGACGCATGTGGGGCAAGACGAACTCACCGGAAACGGTAAATGCATATTACAGACACTTTGCCTATGTCTTCAAACCACAGAAGCTCAGCCTATGGTTCGCAAAAAAGCAGCCTGATTGCTGCACCGGTCAGCCGCTACACACGGTCAGATTCGTGGAAGGCTGTGGCGCAGCATGGTACTGGACTGCACCTCCGGTGGCTCCGAAACAACATCAGCAGTGCAAGATGAAGCTGCTGTCGTCTAGGCACATAGGTCTCTGTGCGTGATATCATCAGAAACTGCCTCGACGAGCGCCTTGTACAAGCGACGTCATTGAGCATCATGATGTTGTAGTGTGTTGCTCTTTGCGCTTTGTTCGCGTTCGCGGTGTCAAATAAGCTTGGGAGCCTGTGCCAGGATATTGGTGTGCATCGTGTATTGATGTATCGATTAACATGCAGGTTCTTTCTGGCGGAGCATCGTTCTCCTGGCGAACGTCCGGGCTGTGCAACTATCCGAGCCAGCTGCCCACCGGTCACCAGCAACGATGAGCTGGCAGTGTCTGGCGCATGAACCTGTCAAAGCGTCTGTTCAGTCCGCTATGGCGCGTACATCGATTAGGTTGTCTTATCTGCCATGGTGCGCTTTGGTTCGCATATGCGATCACAGCGAGCCCGAGACCTGGTCGCTTTCCTATGTATCAACGAAAACTCGAGTGCGCCTTCGACTCTGACTAGGTCCTGGTATTGGTTCGGGCCCGTCGTTGGAATTGTGCTTTGCCATACGGTATGATTGCGAGACACCAAAGTACCATCTCAATGACCAGCCCGAACCAGGACCAGACAGCAGTCTGAGTCAAAGGCGCACTCTATTCATTCTGCGATTGCGATAGTTTCGATGCGCTTCCCTACGTAGGGCCCTGACATGGATCTGATTCCAAACAATGCCCCTCCGAGTACTCGTCGTCATCGTTGTGATCAAGACAAAGTGCTCTAATCCATACGATTCTTTCAAAAGCATAAGGACCACTATCCCGGACGTATCGCAGTAGAGATGCTAGGCCCTCATGGACGCGAAGCTCTATTGACCTAGCCAATTCGCATTAGCAAAGTCGCGAGAATTTGAGAGTGACAACATATGCCAAAACCTGGAATCGTATTCGATGAAGTAAATCACACACTTTTCCCAAGCTGTCAAAGACCGGAACTCCGCGATAGTGACATGGAACAGCTCTGCACCCTCGACACACGTATGCAGGCACTCCATTAAGCCCTCTAACCATCCACCTTAGCCGCAGTATCAGCGACCTCCCCAGCCGTCTCAGCCATCTCCTTATCCTCCTTCTTCTCAGCCTTCTCCGCATCCCCCTTACTCGGCACGCCATCCTTGTTATCCACAAGCTCCCTCACGACATCGACCGTAGCCGCCGGCCCACCGGGCTGGACCGCAAGCACCTTGCCCTCCTTATCAACAACAAAGACACCGCGGGTGGTGCTCTTCGGTGGCTTCTTGAAGCCAATGGCCTTGATGAGGCTCTGTGAAGGGTCGCAAAGCAGGGTGTAGGGCAGCTTCTGCTTGGTCTTGAAGGTGGTGTTGGCTTTGGGGCTGTCGGCTGAGAGGCCGTAGATGGAGTAGCCGGTTGCGGTGAGGGGGTCGTAGGAGTCGCGGAAGAGGCAGGCTTGTTTTGTGCCTTTGGTTGGACGCGTTAGTGCTGCTTTGTGAACGCGAAGGAGATGTCAGGGGTTGGAGACTTACATCCTGGCGTTGAAGCCTTGGGGTAGGTGAAGAGCACGACGCCGCCCTTGCTCTCCTCTACGAGCTTTGCAAGCGTGGTCTTGTCTCCATCGTTCGTCTCAAATTCTCCGCCAAAGGACGCGAGGTCAATTGTGTCGCCGACCTTGGGAGGGCCGGTCGCAGCAGCAGCAGACTCGCCATTGCTCTTACCGACAACAGCTTCCTTGACAGCCTCGACCTGCTCAGTGACAGTTTCCTGGACTTTCTCGACGACAGTCTTCTCGCTCTCGGGCTTCTTCTCCTTGGCGGGCGCCTTCTTCTTCGTCGGGCGCACAGGCGCTGGGGGCGCTTCCTTGCGCTTACGGAGCTCGACGGGCATGTTGAGAATGGAGTCGCGAGATAGTATCGCAGTCGCGTTAGTGTCGCGGGGACGTATAAACTTCAATCAGGGGGAAATTGGGCAGCGAAGAGGTCGGGGTCGGACGCTTGAGCGCTCGTGGAAATCGAGGTGGGACGGTTGGCCAAGGGCAGGAGTACGAAAACCAGCGGAACAGTGGTACAACCCTTCGCAATATGAACAATCCTACCAGTTCGCGGGAAAGATATCCTCGGCCTGATTCAGTAAGAACTATAATATGTTGCGTCGTCTAGTCAACGGAAACGCAGCGTAAGCATCGTGGTGAGCCCGAGCGAGGCCAGGTCGTCCAGCCTCCTCACTTGGCATTTCCCGTCCACATCGATATTAGCCAGATTACCTGAGCCTGCGTCTTTTTCTTCGGGAAACAGCTTATTTCGGACGCGCACTGGGGTAGGAGAGGCTTGTCATTGGCTCGTGAAGTGAGGAGTCGTGAGATGCGCAGCGCTCGGTTGTGCAGGTCCCGGCGCGTCATAGCTTCCTTGCGCGATGCTACTGTTCAGCAGCAACACATTCTCCCAAAAAGCCCACAATTGATATCGAATGCGTTGATTTCTGATATTTACAACACAATTGCGCTTCTAATTAACCTACGTATTGATTCTTCACCCCATAACGCCCACCAGCGAGCTTGAAAAGCACGAGAACACTCTTCCAGCTCATGCGCTACATCTATGCATCTTTGGTACCTCCTGAAACCCAGCTCACAGGATGCCAGTTATTTTCGCAAGAGAATACCTTGCCCCCAGACCCGCGGTTCAATGCCCATCCAGACGACCACATTCCAAGCCCAAACTGTAGCAGGGAGTCAGCACTCGTCTTGTAACGCCTCGGGGAGTGGACTCACGATGAGCATCCCTAGAATGACAATAGAGATATTCAAGATGGTAAAAGCTGTCTGCGAAGTCGACGAGAACAGCTTACCGTTCCTCTTATTGTGCCACAGCCACATCAGTGGAGGAAGCGCATCTACATGCGTCAGTCAATGCACCTACGATTATTCACAGAGTGTCGTGTTGGTAAAGACTTACAACTGAACCAGCTTCCAAAGAGAGCTCCGATCAATCCCAACAGCAAATTAAAGTTCGGCACTGCTTCAGCTAAGATCCAGCTTACCAGCCATGCGCCTGTACATATAGCGCCCCAACTTCCCAAGCTCTTCCAGCTGTTAGTAGATGCTACGTTTGTCCCCTTCCATACGCGAAAGTATATGTACTTAGTGGCTACAGAGCCATTGACTACACCTGCGACGATGATTGTAGGCAGCGCGATGCCGAAACAGATCTTGCTGACGAGTGGGGACGCGGAACCAAGGGCAGGTGAGGCTACAAGAGGCCCGGCGTAGTAGTATATGATGACCGAGATGAGCATATAGAATGTGACTGCGATGCCCTGCTCGAAGATGAGAGCTTTGCGGAAGTCGCGAGGGTCTTCGAGTTCGGATTGGAACGAGAAGAAAGCGACGTGTCCAGCTGTATGAGATTAGCAGACTTCTTTATGACCACAGAACGGGAAATAACCTACTGTAAGCTAGGACGATATTCATTACCTAAAGATGGGTGTACGAAGTCAGCGTTTGTCTCTCATGCAGTTCGTACATGGGGTATAACTCACGGGTGCGAGTCCTTTGACGAGTGGTACATCAGGTCGCACAGCAACGATGTTCCCCATGTCTGGCTTCTGGATACTAATCGCGATCATGGTTACCGTAACTGCCACAATGATGGAACCGCAAGCTGAAATGTGTCAGTCGTGAGTTCACATGAAGCGATCGGATCCTTTGGCCTACAAAAGTAGCTAAAGTAGCTGATATTCTTGAACGTTCTGGGCAATCCTAGCAGGAAGGAGACGATCAGTCCGACGACAGTGAAGACGATAGTGCAAGTGCCGTGGTCAGTCATCGCATTCATCGCGACCGCAAAGGTCAAGATGTGCGCCCCCATGATGAAGATCAGAACTAGTAGTTGTCCGACAGCAAGCACCTCGCGAAGCACTGGCCCGCTCATAAGCATGCCGCAATCCGCGTAGTTCGCTACAGATGGATGAGCCAGCTTGAATTCGCCGATCAGATAGCCAGTGTATGTAGCGATGATGCCTAGGAAGCATATGCAGAGGAGACCGGGGACGAGGCCGAGAATCGCAAGCGCTTGAGGAAGGGCGAGGACGCCTAATGAGACATTCTCTGCCAGCATAACTTGACTATGTTATTGTGGTGATGGTGTGGAGGTACGAGGGGCTTACGAGTGCCGACATTCCTGGTAGCTGAAAGTCAGCGATAGTTCAAAGAAGGATCTCATGCCCAGCGAACGATGCATGCCGTACGCCGAGAAGCACCAAAGTACCGTTAAACCTCGTCCAGTGACACTGCACACAGCATCAGGTAGTCTGTGTACTTACCACCACTTGCACGTCTTGTACTGTATCTCAGCGCCTTCCTCGTTACCAAAGACATCCTGTTCTTCAGCTGGCGCAGCCTGTCCTTCGAGGTCCGCCGACGGCGTCGATTGGGACTGAATCAGTTGCTCATCCAAAGGCTCTTCCGGTGTCGTCTTCTCCACTGCGTGCCTAGCCATGGCTTTGTGTCGCTTAAGCTGTCTCTGCAGTCGCGCGGATATTGTCGTAAAGAGGGCCGGTGGAATACGAAGAACGGAGAGTGAGGTTAGAGTAAGGAATCAAAGGATGACAGGTGTCGGTCAATCGTAGTAGCTGACGTTGTCACGACACGGTACCAGTCTGGAATGCTGCAAGCGTGAGCGCAGTTATGAGCTCGTTAATGGCCATGTAATGACGGGCGCAGTTCGCTCAATTTGAAGACCGTGAAACGATGTGGGCCAAACGAGCGCCTGCCATGCAAAGCATGGTCGAAATTGTGGGTGAGATGTTTGGGTGTACCAGGAAAGCTTTTAGGATAGGGACATGCAGGGAGAGTAACAGATAGCGGAACATTTCGAATGAATGGATTCGAACGCGTATCCTCGAGATAAGACATAGTACCAGGCCAGGGCCACATCCTAATGTAATGATTACACTGGTATTGCAGCGGAGTGCGGAGGCACTGATTGCAGGCTTGAGCTGTGGTAGCGAGCCCTTGATACCCAAGTTTCGGGCACGCGTCGCTATCAATCTGTACACTGTATGCGGATATAAACAGTCTCAAAACGTAAGACATGAAAAGAGAAGACTGGGATGAAAGAGCAACGACAGCAACTGTGCGGTTTCCAGTTCGAGACTGGATGTCAGAAGTGCTGCGTGTCGCGTAGTGTATAGGTAGAGATCTGAGTCGTTATTGATGCGATAAGAACACCGCAAGATATATTGGCCTAATGGTAGTAGTTGAGGTGGGGAAGAAGAGTCTTCAATGGATGGAATAGATGTTAGCTACGTCATCACGTGGACGCGTGAGGCAAGCGCGATCCGGGCTGCCGCCACTCCACCCTCCTCATCTTCCCCCGCACGCAAGCCAATCGTACCAAACTGCCAAACCTATGCCCCCTCATTCGCCTTGCGACGCCAATTACATCACACACACGCCATGAACTCCGACCTGGGCCTCCCGCCGACGCGAGCAACCCGCAAGCGAAAGACTACCACGTACGCTGACGACGATAACGATGACGATGCGCACCTCAACTACCAGTCCACACCACGGAAAGCCCAAAAGACGAAGAGCGCACCCGAAGTAATCGACTTGACGGGAGATTCTTCCAAGAAGACTCAGAAGACTCCTGCTAAGAAGAGAGGCAAGCGCGACGCGGATGCGCCTGCCGAAGAGAAGCGCGCGAGGGTGTTCCGCAAGCAGGCACCACAAAGCTACCTCGCAATCAAGGAAAGAGCATTCACACAGCGCCTCACGGTCCTTTCGCGCGAGCGCTGCGGAAGCGATGATGTACCGGAGGAGAAGGTCATTGTCGCAGGCTCTACGGGCAACGTCTACACCGTCTCAGTTGGTCTCGTCCCAGGCTGTGACTGTCCACACGCGAAGAAGGGCAATCAATGCAAGCACATCATCTACGTTATGCTGCGCGTGCTAAAGGCACGGGAAGACGTCGCATACCAACTAGCCCTCATCCGCTCCGAGCTACGTGAAGTCATCAAGAACGCGCCACCCATCCCCGGCGTCGAGACAGACGGAAAGGACGGCACTGAACAAGAGGGCCAAGACGGCAACCGCAAGCCCATCGAGGGTGAATGCCCCATCTGCTACGACGAACTCGGCGAGAACGAACCCATCGTATACTGCAAAGCCAGCTGTGGAAACAACGTGCACAAAGCTTGTATGGCGAATTGGATCGCAGTCTCAAAGGGCAAAGCGACTTGTCCATACTGTCGTGCCAAGTGGGAGGCAGACACAGGCTTCGAGGGCAAGCTGGGTGAAGTCGATACAAAGAATCTGGAGAGGAATGAGGACGGCTATGTCAATGTTGCAGGACAGCTCGGTCTCAGTGGTGAGCGTGATTATTCCACATATCATCAATACTGGGTCCGACGACATCTAGGCCATGGTGGGCGCAGGAGGGGTGGCTACGATTACGATTACGACTACTAGGCCCATGTTTATCGAGGTGTGAGTAGGCGGGAGATGTGTATTTGGCGTTCAGGACATTGATACCCAGGAGCGACAGGCGCGCGGCACTTTGCCAAACACATACCATCAGTCGTATCTCTAAAACAACTACCCGTTTGACTCAATCGCTTCCTCGCTTTCCTTCGTTTATTCAACATCATGCGTGTACACTGTCCCCATCTCCAAACCCACCCACCTCGGCGCGCATCGGAAATTAAACCCTCAAGAATAGCACAAAATCACGATCGCCACGTCCACGCGCGCGCAACTCCCCCAAACATACCCACCTACCACCGGCCCATTTTGCATAACCAAGCAAAATCGATCACCATGATCTGAACATCGTCACCTGCATCCGCTTTCGCCTCGTTTCCAGCCCCACAACCCTTTTCCTCCTTCTGCCGTCAACACGATCAGCATGAACGGACGTCCTCGGCGAATTTATTCACGTCCATCTATAGCTCGTCGTGCTACCATCCCGTCCGATGCCCAATACGAGCGTATAATGACGCGTACCAATCTTGCGAGGGAACGATCCCAGATGCGGTCTATTGATATCAGATGTAGTATAGATCCACATCCACCAGTAGTCGCTCGAGCCACGAGTGATCAACAACGACAGTGCACGTTCCTTCCACCAACAGGATGGTGCATAATGTAGTACTGCGAAAAGGCTATCGGCTTCTGAAAGCGTGTTGTGTGCAGTCCTGTACCCTGCGACACGGTAAGTAAGTTGGAGCGGCTCGAAAGGGGAGGCGAAGCTTAACACGAATGGCTGGATGGAAACGTGCTGCACCAGACCCGCGAACGTGGGCACTGCAGCTGCGAGTGGCTGTGTTTGCTTTATTAGACGTTACACTTGTGGCCGATCATGCGAGAACGTGCAAGCGGTGGCGCGATCATGTACAGGGATGAGGTCGGGACAGTATGCAGGTACAGTGATCAGCTCTGCAGATTAGGTTTGTGTCACTGGGGATCTGCTCCCGACTTGCGACAGAGTTCGACGAGAGCGGCAAGGGAAACGCTGGCGCTCAAACTCATGAAAGAAACATCACGATTGAGATTGGAGGCAGGATTCAGTTGCAAAGAGTAAATTCAAGAAAGCTAGATAACGCCAGGTCATTTGACAACCGCAACAAAGGAAAAGTCTAGGAACAAATCGAGGTTCATCAAACATTGCAGTCTGACTGCGCCCACATACCAGAGCCCGACGAGCATAGGGAATCCGAAGAGTGATGTGGAAATAGACAGTCAATATATTGTCGAATGTACATGATATCAACTGTCTAGTCCCGGCTTTTACGTGAACAATCCATCACAAAGGAAACCACCCAACGCTTTGCCCCTGCCCGAGGGAACTTGATACAGTAGACAGACAAGACATGCGAGAATGCGGATCAAGCGATCCTACCAACAAAGGACACTAAGAAAACGCGAAGCTCATATACAAGAAATGCACTTTAGCGCTTAGTAGGTGCCGTAGCCGGAGCCGTAACCACTGCCAGAGCCGTAGCTGTTGTCAGGGGTAGGGGTGGGGGCAGCGGAGGAAGAGGCAACGGTGGAAGCCTCAGGAGTCTGGGTGGAGACGGCAGCAGAGCTAGAGGCACCGCCGTAGCCGCCACCGACGGGGTAGGCAGCAGAGCTGGTCTCAGCAGAGGCGGGGACGCTGGAGGAGGGGATAGCAGTCTCGCCGGTGGGGGTGGCTACCTCAGAGACGAAAGAGAAGCTGGGGAGGACCGAGGTGGGAACGGCACCGGTGCCAGTGGGCATGGCAGGCTTGGTGGAGGTCTTGAAGCCAGTGGGGCCGGCAGGGTAGGGGTTGGTGCCGTTACCGGGGACGGGGTACATGGCAGTGGGGACGGCGGGCATGCTGGAGGAGGCAGTCTGCTCAGAGGGAACCTCGGGGGTTGGCTCAGGAGCGTTGGGGGTAGCAGCGGGGTAGTCACCACCCTTGGTAACGGTGACGGTCTCCTTGGCAGTTACGGTGACAGTGACGGGAGCAGCGCAGTCCTCACCACCCTCGCTTCCAGCAGGAGTGGAGGGCTTGGCCTCACCACCAGCAGGGCCAGTGGGGTAGGCACCGTTACCACCAGCGGGGCCGGAGGGGTTGGACTCGGAGTCAGCGGGGACATCGCCCTCACCAGTGGGAGTGGGCTTGACGGTGATGTACTTGGTGGAGGTGGAGGTAGACTTGATGGTGGAAGTGACATCCTCCTCACCGGCGGGGCCAGTGGGGTAGGAGCCCTCGCCGCCAGCAGGGCCGGTAGCCTCAGAGGGAACCTCACCAGTAGGAGTGGGCTTGCCGACAGTGACGACGACAGTGGAGTACTGGGTGGAGGTAGAGGTGGAGGTGACCTCAGTGGTGACTGGGTGAGCAGTCGAGCCAACACCGACGGTGTAGACGAGGGTCTCGGTGTAGGTCTGGACGACCTCAGAGACGGGGTAGGAGCTGGTCATGGCCGAGCTGCCGGTGGGCTTGGGGAGGTCAGACTCGGGGCAGACGGTGGTGCCGACGGCAACAACGCTGGTGACGAGCGCGGTGGAGTGGGCCGGGCAGTCAGTGACAGTAGGGGGGCAAGCAGTCTTGGTGAAGATCTGGGTGCTGTAGATGGTGGAGGTCACCATGTCGCTGATGGGGGTGGAGGAGACACCGCTGGGGACCATGCCAGTGCCGGTAGGGACCATAGCAGTGCCAGTGGGGTAGAGACCAGTTCCGGCCATGCTGCTGGTGGTGGCAGCCTCAGGAACGACCGAGGAGGGGACACCTCCGTAGCCGCCGCCGACTGGGTAAGAGCCGGAGGGGATGGCAGAGCTCATGCTGACACCGGGAACGACGGAGCTGCTGGTGGCAGCCTCGGGGACCTCAGAGGAAGCAGAGGAGGGCTTGCCACCGTATCCACCACCGACGGGGTAGGAGCCGGAGGGGATAGCGGAGCTCATGCTAACACCGGGAACAGAGCTGGAGCTAGCGCCAGCAGGGACCGATGAAGAGGCAGCAACGGGAACGGA